TAGAATTTAATTATCTAACGTATAGCCCTAATACTGCAGATGGATCAGAGCAAGTTAAAGCAACTCGGATGATCTGGTTTGAAGAGACTTTTCCCTTGTTGCGTTTTTGGTTGCCCTGACAACTTTTTATTTGAACATTCTTTCCATGAAAAGTAGGGGGCAGTATTGCACAAGATTGATCCTTCTTATGGTTTTTAACCTGTGGTACGCGCGAGTCCATGTTAGTCTAGCTAATAATTTGACCATTTAATCCGAGAAGTAACATATATTTTATTAGTTATGGCCTTTAGCGCACTCTCGTTAGCAAATTTATTTAACATTTTATTTAGATTGCTAATGTCTGCAGCGAAACACCACTAAGGGGATGTTTTATTTCTACTCTTCGGGTATATGTCTTTTTGTATATTTTTCTGTGTTTAATATTACAATGCAATCTGTGTTCTTCGAATCTTGGGCATGAAGTCGAGTGAAGGATAAAACCAGTGTTGCCAACTAATTTTCAGGGGAAGTTGCTAAAGGAAGGTCTGCTAAGTTGGCAACACTGGATAAAACGGGCAAATCACAACGCAGAGAAAAGAAGAAAGACCAGATCCGTTACACAACTGCAAAAGCACAGTCACCCCTGCTCTTCAGCCTTTACTCGAGGGACGACCAAAAGTAATTGCTCAGAGGACCTAAGTGCTGTGAAGATATCTTGGTGCTTTGAATGCTGAAAATACCATTTTAAAGGGGTCATATGATGCTATTTTAAAGATCATTATTTGGTGTATTTGGTGTAACAGAATATTTATAAAGAATATCTCTTTGGATTTGAGACTTTAGTCTTTGCAACTTTACAGATCTTCTTTATGCACCAAGAGCTTGTAACACTCCAAAGAGAAAGGAAAACTTGAAATCGCATCATATGACCCCCTTAAATCAATTCAAAAGTGAACAGGAAGCCAGTGAAGGGAGGCCAATATTGGTGTAATAATTCTTGCTTATGCGTACCTGTTAACAAACAAGCAGCAGCATTCTGTGTAAAGGCCATTAAAGTAGGCTACTCCAGGAAGGTCGAGATAAAAATATGAATAATCCTTTCAAAATTATTAAAAGACAGAAAAGACTTGACTTTGGATAATTGCTTCAACTGGGAAAACTAGTTTAATAACTAATTTAATCTGTTTATCTAGTTTAAAGTCACTGTCCATAATAACTTTTTTTTTTTTTACAATGGGCTTCACAAATGGTTTTATAGCACCCAGATCTATAGATAAGATGACATCTAGATTAAGGCCATCCAGGCTTTAATATCCTCAAGACAGTCCAACAATGGTTCTATGGAGTTTGCACCTTTCTGTTTCAAAGGCAGAGAAAGTTGTGTATCATCTGCATAACAGAATAGGTCCAAGAATGAAACTTTGAGGGACTCCACACAAGAGAGATGGCGAGGAGGACACAAAATCCCCAAGGCGGACAAAAAAACTTCTGTCAGACGGATAAGATCAAAACCACTCCAAATCTAAAGGCTAACATATGTGATGTGATCCATATGCAGAACCATTAATGAAACAGAAGATCACAAATAACAGATCAAGGGGAAGATCAACGTTTTTAATCTTTTGCTGCTACACTCTACTTATTCTTGTTTGATTAATATGTTTACTGATGAATAGTCTAATAAGGTAGGGCAGAATTTTTAATCTCATTTTTGCTTCACTTGGTAATGAATTGAAACTGCTATATGGATTAGGAAATTTTACATTAGTTATTGCTGAGTCATTCACTTCTCCAGAATAAGGGTCAATAGACATCTCAGATTTCAATCATTAACTCTAGTATAATAATGATTCTAGGCTGACTGAGGTCCAGTGAAAACTGGATTAAACCATGACCAAAAAAACACACTTTATTCATTTTCACAGTATAATCTTAAAACAAAAAAGTAATTATTATTTAATATATTTACATTAAGTACTATGGTGTTACTGTCTGTTACTAAAAGTGCACCATGGTACCACTAGACTCTTACAATAAGTGTGATAAAGAATGTGAAGTATCTGCAAATATGAACTTGAAGCAAGTCTGTGTGCTGGAATAAATGAAGTAAACGTATAGGCTCTGTGAGATCAAGATTGCTGGGTGAGGTGAAGGCTGAGACATCTTTCATAAGCATTTCAAAATCTATTGAGAGTGCTGAACTTTCTAGTGGATTCAGTGCTTAAATCATATTACTGTATTTAATATACATATTTCATATTACTGTATTAATATACTGTATTTCAAATGTAATTTACATGCTTACATCGCGGCTAGGCTGTGGCTAACAAAACTATATTAAATTGTATGTATACTCTGGGCAAGTTTGTATTTTTAAAATGGTAATCATGATGGCTTTATTGACCCTGTATTGAAATTAATCCTAGATCATACTTAAAATAACTGCACAGCTTTTGCAGACACTCCTCTAAAACAGCAGATATATTACGTTTAGAATGGTAGCCTCTTAAAAAGACACATAGCCTACTTACCATAATGCATTTAAAAACTAATATAACTTCTTATGCAAGAACTCTCAAATAATCTAAATTGGAAGCACGCACTATGTCACTGCATCATCTGTTCACTGATTTAAATGGGATTGCATATGCAGTATTGTCATGTCTTGTCTGTATAGTTTTGGTTCTTTAAGTTCAGTTTTATTCCCTGTGTTTAGTCCTGGGCTTTGTCCGAAATGGCCCCTTTTCCCTCAAATAGGGCACTAGCCATTTGTAGTGGTGTCAGAAACCATAGTGGACCTTCTCGAGTGCACTCATTCAATCCCAAAATATACCCTCAAAAACCTAAACTTAAATTAAAAGTAAAACAATTGCAGTAAGTCATGATCATAAAATAGATTTTCCTTGATTATTGGCATTCTTTAATTTGTTTGCCTCACTTTGTTAAAATTACAAATAACAAATTTTTATTTGTTAAAATGACTCTTCCCCTATTGATCTGAGACCATTTCCACATGCAGAACTTTCCAGATGCTTCATATTCTGTGGTCCAAGCTTGTGTACAGTCCTCTTCAACTCACCCCACTGGTTTTCTATGGATTTTCTTTCAAAGACTGGGGGACTGGGATAGCCAAGGCACTGACTCTGTGGTCAGTGAACCATTTGTGTGTTGATTTTGGTATTTACTATGGATCATTGTCCTGCTGGAAGATTCAACCGTGACATGGTTTAAAGGCAGGGTATGTGATTTTTCAAAAACACTTTAGAAAACTGATTCATGACTTAGGCAGCCAGGTGTTGATTTAATTTCCAGGTATTACAATATGTTTTCCAGGGCCTTTGAAAGAAAAACAGCCCCACAACATCTAAGATCCACCACCACACTCTACAATAGGGATTTTTTTTCCCCCCAAAAAGCTTTATTCATCGGACCATAAAACCTAGTCCCAATGAAATGTCTGGTAATGTCTGGCGAACTGTAAGCACTTTCGTTTGTTTCCTAACAGCAAAGTTGTGCTTATGTGTCACCTGACCACAGTTTTGGAGATAACTTGCAAGCTAATCACATAGCTAAATAACAACTATAAAATTTTGGCATCTAGCCTTGATGGTTTGATTGATGAGTGCCAGTCAGGGTTTATGAATGGTTGCCACATATCCAACAATGTACGGTTAGTTCTTGATTTTACTGATTATCGTGATTTGGTTTTGGATCCTGCTTTAATGATGTTCTTAGACTTCAAAAAGCATTCAATACTGTTAGCCATAATCTAATTTTTTACTGTATTACGTTTCTTTGATTTGATCAAATATCAATGCAGTGAAAACATTTAATGTAAGAGGAAATAGTTATGTTAAACTTATATCTGGGACAACAACAAAATGTCCTGTTCACAGATGTATAATAGGGCTGCCCTATTTCCCCCTTTCTTCTCCTGCTAGTTACTCAAAATTTCCATTTCAATTAGGAATTCAAGACAAAGAATAAAAAAATCAACCAGAAGTTCCTAAAAGAATTTGAGACAAAAAAAAAAATCAGGTCTGTGAACACACTTAAAGGGGTCATATGATGCGATTTCAAGTTTTCCTTTCTCTTTGGAGTGTTACAAGCTGATTGTGCATAGATAAGATCCCTGAAGTTGCAAAGACTAAAGTCTCAAAACCAAAGAGATATTCTTTATCAAAGTTAAGACTCTGCCACGCCCCCCTAAAACGGCTCATTCTAACACGCCCCCACATATCTACCCCACTATGTGGAAATATTTGCATAATCCCGCCGCAAATGTGCACGCAAAGAAAGAAGGCATGGTGTCAGTAACCGCAGTTAGTGTTGAAGCAGCCATGTCAAGAGCTAAAATAGCAATCTGTGGAATTCAGCGTAAAGTTAAAATTAATTATTTGAGTGTTCTTGAAGAAAAATGCACTTTCTGTGATATTGAACAGACAAAAAAGTGCTTGTGAAAGTGTCTGTGTTTTGGAACTTTGGAACAAGTTATGTAAGGCCTACCTATCTCTCAGAAAAACAAAACATAAGCATAAACACATTTAATATTATTTTTTATGATAGCTCAAATTCTCATCATCAGTATACTTTTTATTACACTTGGCCATTTTTTTATACACAAATGCAAATGTTTTAGTTTTTGGTTTTATTTATTTATTTTTATTATGTCTTATTTTTTGTTGTTGTTCTTGTTGTTCTGTACTTGTTGATAAAATTTCATGTAATTCATTTGGCACAAATACAATTTAAAAAATAAATAAATAAAAAAGGTCACTAAACTTTATACAATACAGTCAAATTAAATTTTATTTTGGCCTTTCATAGTATTATATTGTTGTAATTATAATCTTCTAGCTTACTCTTATAAAAACTCAGTGGTAGCAGCAAGCCTACAGTCCTACATTCGTCATGTTTTTACACTATGATTTCAACATATGCTTCTACAACTGTGAAACTTTCGGTTCCACCCCCTTGCGTTTGTTATAACGCTATTGGTAGTCTGATCGCTGGCCTGCAATACAATTGTGTTGAAATAAATAGAAACAGTGTCTGCTGAATCTTTCTTTCCTGCTGTGGAATCTGGAATCTTTCCTGCTCTAATCTGGACTTGCAAAGGTATGATAAGTGTAATATCTAGATAGTAGCCTACATGTAGTTTGCTCAAAATGCAAGCGTAATATCAATAGTCACATATTGGTGTGTGCAATGACAGATTCCTTCTGACAAAGGACACATGCATTTTTCGTGTCGTACATTCGTAAATGAGTCTTGTGTTAGCAAAAACGTTTTTAAAAATAAACAAACGTGCATAAAAGAATGTCGCCTAGTTCGTAAAGTTCATGTCAACATATGATTTGACTAATGTGTTGGCTAAACTTGATTCTTTTCGTTATAGTAGCCTAAACTTTGTGGCATGCTAGATTTTGTTGTATGGATAGACTATATGAAATCGTTCCACGTTATTTGCAGTAAATGTCAGGTTAAATATTTATTGTTGTGGGCGTATCTCGTTGATCGAACTGTGACCCTGCAGTGCACTCTGATTGAGAAACTAACATTATCCTTCAATAATGCGACTTTTCTTTGGTGGGTTTCACTACTTTTTGATATAAATTAATTTTTGAATACTAATTTTAAGACCTTTTCTGTTGTCCGGCTTGGAATGTTACTGCCTAGTGATATTTGGTTCGTGAACGAATCGAATCGTTCATTTGAACCGGTTCTTTTCAGTAAACCAGTTGAACTGGTTCGCCAAATCGAACTGAATCGTTTGGAACAGTTCGCGTCTGTTGCAAACACTGTTAAACTATAGGCCAACTATAGGCCATGTCTATAACTATACTGTGAACTATAGGCCATGTCTACTTCTGCAAACACTTTTTTTGCAATTCGGATTTGCAAACATGCGGTTCTCGATTTAGCAGTGATATGAAGTGTATGCGGACCCCCGCACAAATGGGACACCTGTTTGTAACTGTAGCTCGTATTAGTTCTTTCACATTTTTATTTTACTCCCTGCAGTATCATACTACAGGTGATCTTATTAAATATATTATGTTTTAAATGAAATGTAATACAACATATTAAATACATGTTTCTTGTTTCCCATTAAATGTTCTTAAAAAATGATCAAAGTTGGTCAAGCATAATAATAAGCTATGCAGCTAGCTGGCTAGCGTAGGCTGATCTAGCATGCAGAGAAGGTAAAGAACCATTATAACCACTTTATTTACCATTATAAATAACATTAATTAAAAAGGCAGTTAAAGTCATAGTAAAGATGACATCATAAGTCAAATGTGTAGATTTTCCAATCAGACACGCATTAAAACCCCTTTCAGTCAATGGAATCATTTGGACCCATTTGTGCAGGGGGATGCAATTGCCCTTGTAGGCCTTGAACTGTTCGTAAAAACCTACTTAAATGAAAATAATAACAATACAATAAACTGTGTGTACAAGTCAGCTTATGGTATTATGAACTTGAATCTCAATATAACCGTTTTCTTTAGGCAAGTGATCGACAGCCATCTTGGGAACGCACTCAGGCATCTGTCATGGAAGTACAGCCCCTGTGTAATTCAATGGGGACTGAATCTCAAATTGATTCACAAAAATGACTTATTTATGAAAACATATTTCAAATCAGCAATAAAATCATGAACAACATGGATTGTATAATAAACGTTGCTTCTTACCCTTTTGTTCATTGTCCCTTTTTCAAGGTTACTTCATTGCACAAGTAAGTGGCGACCAGTAAGTGTCTTTTGGAGCATTAAACCATTAAATGAATCATTGACTCAACATATTTATTCGAAAACACAGTTGTTCATGTCATAAGTCCAATACAAAAGCATGAGAATTATAACAGATGACAGATGACAACTGGTCTTTGTAGAAAAAAGTTATAGAAAAAGACAACAGTAATAGGTTCAACAACATTCTTATATAATTTAAATAGTGTGACTGTGACCCCTTCATCCAGTTACTGTTTCAGTCAGCAGGTTGTCATTCACAAACAAATGCTATTTGTTTAATGACATTTTTAACATTTTAACATTAGGTGAACAAATTATGTTTGTGTTAATTTATTCAGGTGGTACCAATGTACATGATTAAATCATAAAAATCCAACACACTTTTTTTTATGGTCTGTCTTTTATAATCTTTTTTTATTTGATCCAAAACCCTCTTCTCCTTGTTAAACGAGATTAACTCACATTTCTATCTGAATGAACAACATCTCAAGTTTATTCATACATGACATGTCCTAATACATTCAGTTATACACTACAAAATATGAGTCAGTGCATGGAAGTGAACAAGAACGATTTATTTATTTACTGTTTGGTGTCCCCTTCCTCAAATTTATTAATGCATTACAGAAATTTGTTTTTTTCTCTCTCTGAAAAGCTTTTAATAATGTTTTGACAGAAAGTTGATTTAATAAAAATTTGGTATAGATCTGCTGAACACAAACAGGAGGAGTTTGAAAATTCGAATGGGGAAAAAATGGTTTAAAATATATAGCTGCAAGCAGTGACCACCCAGTGTGGGGAACATAACCAAAACAGCCAAATTTAAAAGAAGGCTTTTGTACTCTGGTCTGTTGTGTGCTAATCTAGTTTATACACCAATATTTATAGTACATCATATACTATAAATACTGATGGCGCCTATGACAAATTGTTTGTGATTTTCCTCATTTTAAGTCACTTTGTATAAAAGTGTCTGCTAAATAAATAAATATAAATTGTTTTGGTGGCAAGTTTCAACTTTATTCACTGCAGTTGCATAGCTTTGAGGTCATTCTTAAATGATAACGCCCCCTGGCATTGCAAATAAATGTTTCCTTTAATGTGCACCAAGTTCTGTGAAAAAATCTCATGAAAAGTGTCAAGCAGGGTAAATGTAGTTTCAACGTAGTTCCAACTCCCCTTTTTTCACACATGTATGGTTTGTAGGCATATCATATTTGGAACGAGCAAAAGGGAAAATTTTTTTGTGACTAATCAATAAAATAAATACATAAGCTATTTTATGGCTTCAGAAGACTTTCAATACAGAGCGCAAAACATATAGACTACAGTTATAGTTCTGTTATCTTTCTTGGAGCTCGACACATCTGGTTCACTTTGATTTTATGGACGCCTGACATGTTGCAAGGGTTCCTAAACTGCATACAAGATAGTAAATTAAGCAATTAACATAGTGAATTAAGCAATTAAGAATGAACATATTACTCAAAATGAAAGTATAAAAACTGCGCAGCTAAAGCAGTTCTAGGCAGGTCTTGAGTGCATTACAGGTCCGTATCATTTTGTGAAATTATTTCAGTTATTTTAAAATGTCACTCTATTTACCACAAAGACATTGACCAAGCAAATAGTTTTCATTTTCCCCCTCAAAATTACCTTTGTTTATCTATGCAAAACACAATCTCAATGAAACATGATGCACACACAGAGACATTTACATTAAGCCTGTTGTCAGCACTAAAACTGCATTAAAAAGCATGAATACTTTTAGAGCTAATGCAATTTTGTGAAAGCTAGTAACTCCCTAAACATCTATGCTGTAAAAAAATGGCATAAAGAGTAAAATAAATGTTTACACTTGCAAGGCATAAAAACAGATGTACATAATCAATTAATATAAGATCATTGAGTTGTAAGAATGTCCAAAACAGGCAGGTGACAGTTCTGTTAACTTGCTTGAAATGCTCACATTGGCCTCTTTGTCCAGTCCATCTTTATTATTGAGCCCTGGTAAAGTTACGTGTCCTGCTCAAGGGCACAATCATGATAGAGGTTGCTAAGTGAATTCCCTATTCACACTTTACCAGTACAAACACTGATTCACTAAGCAACAGTTTTGGAGGGTTCTTCTTTGAGCAGAGTCAGTGGGAGGCCAGACTACCTGAAATTCCCTTGAACATGGTTTTGCATAACAAACACAGGCTTGTGAAATCATTCCAAAGCAACTTGACAAGAAATTTATCATAACCAACAATATCTGCAGTACTAAATTCCAAGTTTTAATTTTAAGACAGAGAAGCAAACAAGCTAGAGAAGTGAAATGCAGAAAGAGAGAAAACCTCAAGAGTTTTTTTCTATTGTTATAGGAAGTTTACGGTTAAATTAACTGCTTGCAAAAGAGGTCGTCAAACTATTTCATACTTGATTTCATAACTAATATGCTACCATGTATAGTAATAGTAGTAGTTGTATGTGTTGTCAATAATAGGTTTTAACCTGTATGTGTTCCTTTCATTTCAGATGAAGATCGCCGTGATTGGCCAGAGTCTCTTTGGACAGGAAGTGTACAAAGAACTGAAGAAGGATGGCCACACGATTGTTGGTGTATTCACCATCCCTGACAAAGATGGAAAAGTGGACTCACTTGGTAAGTCTCTCATAGCTTTGTTTCTGTAAGGATCATTGACGTTACTCCTAAAGGGATAATTCTCTCATAATTTACCCACGCTATCCCAGGTTTATATGACTTTTTCTTCTGTGGAACACAAACAGATTTTTAGAAAAGTAAGCTGTCTCTGGTTCCATTTAATGTATAGAGTTGTCACAACAAGAGTACCTTGAAGTTGAAATGAACACACAAACAGATACAATGGCATTCCATATGACCCCAATTTAGTCTTCTGAAGTGAAAAAATAGTTGTGTAGAAAAATACTAATATTTTTATATTATTTATAAACCATCACTGTGAACGTCAAACCATGAAGTGTGATGAAAGTGATTTGTGAAACTTATGCAACAAATCCTCTGTGCTTTCGCATCACTTCTCATGTGAGTTTCATGAGTAAAATATAATATTTTCTCACATGCCTATCGTTTTGTTTCAGAAGGCACTGAGTCTTCGACTGTTGTATGGATTACCGTCATGTTCACTTTATGTGGTTTTTGAAGCATCAAGTTTGAGGGACTGATATTTTACATTATATGGACTCAGAGATCGATTTTTTTTTTTTAAGTATTCGTTTGTGTTCATCTGAAGAATGGAAGTCAAATATCAGGGATAGCAAAATGGTCAGTAAATGATAACAGAATTTTCATTTTTGCACAAATGTCTGGAGTGAAAATTTGGTCAAATTTTCACTAGTGATTTGTTCAGACCAGTGCCAAAATATGGCAGGCAGGCTGAATGAAATGCAAATTCATTCTCTGACAGTAACAGCACTCTCTTATGTAACAGCAGCAGCTCTACTCTTGCACCAAACATTCATCTTGATGTGAATCTGTCCTTTTTTCAAAAATACATTAAAAATGGAATTCATACATAAATGGAGTTCTTACATAAAATGATTTGAATACATCTCTTCTTCAGTGAATATGTTTTTATATTCTGTATTAAAATATCAGGGTGATACAACTGTTCTGTTAATTGCTAATTAACTGTTCATAATTAAAGAAGTTTCATTAAAATAATTAAAGTTGAAATATTTATATAAAATGTAAATAATTTAAAATATATTGAATATTTGATAAGCAACTATCCTTCAAATATTCAAATAAGTCATGTGATGCAACCAACATTTATAAACATGCAGAAGAAAACTCAAGACTATGTGTTAAGGTCAATAAGTATCTTAAAATATAAAATATGATAAGACAAGATTAGTTCAGGTTGTTAAATGACAAGACAAGATTAGTTCAGGCTGTTAATTGTCTTGTTGTGGGACTCCCGAAAAATGTAATGAATTATGAATTAGCTGCACTATGAAACTTTGGCTAACGTCTGTGGTTGAAATATAAAATTGCATGTTATTTGCAGAAAGTTCTTTGATGGCAGTTGTGCTTCGGCACTGCTCTTTTGTGCATATGAATCTGATGGTTTGAGGAAAGTTAATGGTTACACAAATTGAAATAAATCTTTAAACGTTCCACAGCGACTGAGGCAGAGAAGGATGGCGTGCCAGTGTTCAAGTTTCCCCGTTGGAGGCTGAAGGGAAAGGCCATCACAGAGGTGGTGGATCAGTATAAGGCCGTTGGTGCTGAACTGAATGTTCTTCCTTTCTGCTCTCAATTCATCCCTATGGAAGTGATAGATCACCCAACACACGGGTCCATCATTTATCATCCCTCTTTGCTGCCCAGACACAGAGGTGCCTCTGCCATTAACTGGTATGTCTGTGTGTATGTGTGTTCTTTTTGTGTTTTATTAGTGAGTGTGTGTGTGTGTATACGTGTGGTAATTAGAAATATGATAGTAAGAGAAAGATTAGTGGCATACCTAATTAGATTTAGGAATAGTTCACTTTTTTTTTTTTTTTTAATTTCATTTCATTTTACTTAATTTATTATTTTCTTTTGTGAAATACAAAATCAGATGTAAGGTAGAGTGTGTGAGTTGTCATAAACATGAAAATGCTTTATATTTAGTGTTTCAACCAAATGCATATAATTTAAAGCAGCTTGCTATCAGGTGCTTTGATGGATACATGTTCTCTTTAAAGGGGTCATATGATGTTGCTAAAAAGAACATTATTTTGTGTATTTGGTGTAATGCAATGTGTTTATGTGGTTTAAGTTTCAAAAAACACATTCTTTTACACATACTGTACATTATTGTTTCTCCTCTATGCCCCGCCTTTCTGAAACGCGTCTGCAACTTTACAGATCTTCTTTATGCACCAAGAGCTTGTAACACTCCAAAGAGAAAGGAAAAATTGAAATCGCATCATATGACCCCTTTAATGTTTTCCTCAGCACATAACATTTATTTTTGTAGTTGTATAATTATCTGCAAATGTTATTAATTATCATATGTGTTTAAAAAGTATCATATTTTATATTTTGGGTCTTGGCACAATATTTTATTCACTGAAAGAAACAGCATGAGGATGAGTAAATGATGACACAATTCTTGGGTGTGTAAATGATGTAAAATTATGTTGTTTTAACATAAATTTTGTTTTGCTATTTTGTTTCTCTTAGGACTCTGATTCATGGTGATAAGAAGGGTGGGTTTACTATATTCTGGGCAGATGATGGACTGGACACAGGACCAATTCTTTTACAAAGAGAATGCGACGTTGAGCCAAATGACAACGTAAACAGCATCTACAAACGCTTCCTGTTCCCGGAGGGAGTTAAAGGCATGGTGTGGAATCAATGCAGAAACTTCTACAGCTACATCATATTGCAAACTATAGTATACTATATAGTAGATTTAAAAAAGCATTCAATTCACTGTTTTAATGTAGGATAAGCAGGATTTAAAGTCCAGAAAGTAGTCTGATGGAGTTGTATTTGAGTGCACCCTTGGATTCTTGTGTGTGTGCTTTTGTTTTAGGTGGAGGCAGTCAGGTTAATTGCAGCGGGTACAGCTCCGAGAATCAAGCAACCAGAGGAAGGAGCCACATATGAGTGTATTCAGAAGAAAGAAAATTCAAAGGTGGAGTTCTCTGCCGCTGCACAACATCCGATATATAGATGTATAGCTTCAACCTCAATGCTGTACACAACATTAAAACAATAACTATCTATGGTTGGTTGAATAGATTGACTGGAACCAGTCAGCAGAAGCCATTCATAACTGGATCAGAGGAAATGACAGAGTACCTGGAGCCTGGGCAGAGATTGATGGCAAAGTGAGTGTTTTAACTAACATACACAACAGCACATGAAACATGCAGAGACTCTTAGTCAAATGCATTAAATTTTGTGCAAACAACTTCTCTTGTTGCAACAGTATTATTTTCATTCTTTTGGTAGAATGTTTCATTTTATGGATCAACACTGTTGGAAAATGACCATTTTTCAAGTAATGGTCAACCTCTGGAAATCCCTGGAGCAAGTCGACCTGGTCTGGTTACCAAAAATGGCCTTGTTCTTTTTGGGAATGATGGCAAGATGGTAAGGACATGCAGAAACGTTTTTAAATTATGCTATTAAAATTGCTAAACTTGATATAGGCAAAAACTTAAACATATTTAATATAGCACCACGTAGTTTCAGCAGGATGTGTTTGTGCTGGCCTGAGTAGTAGGGTGGATTTGTGACTTTACCAACCAAAATTTAAAGGTATAGTTCACCCAAAAATGAAAATTCTGTCATAATTTACTCACACTCATGTTGTCTTAAACCTGTATGTATTTATTTCTTCTACTGATAAAAAAAAAAAAAAAAAAGAATGTTGGTAACTGAAAAACTTTGGTGACCATTGACTTCCATTGTATGGACAAAAAAGAGGAAAAAAATTACTGAACAAAGTCATACCCTTTTGGAATGACACGAGGGTGAGTAAATGATGACAGTTTTCATTTTTGGGTGAACTGTCCTTTTAAGTGCAAGCTGCAATCATCACGGTCCAAGCACATGTGAAGGGACCATGACCAAAATAGACAAATTCGAAAGAATAGATCCTGTTGATGCTGTGGATACAATTGCTTTGGAGTCAAATGTCAACTTCTTCAGTCACACCCTTACCCTACTTTTTGGTAAGGGCAGTTAGCACAATTAGGTTATTGCCCCTAGCAACAGAAGCATTTTCAGTGCAAACATGCTAAACAGACGTCTTACTGTTTCAGTGTGTCACTATGAGCCACCGCTGAAAAATCAGTTAGATCACATCTTAGAAATTATGTACTGAATGTACTGAAATGTTTTTGTCATGAGGGTCACTAGATGATCAGTACCAAATTCTGCATGAACACTTTTTTCTGTGTGAAAAGTGTAAAAATGGATGGATGGGAATGAAATCTAAGCTATACAATTTATTTTGTCTCAATTCAAGGATTCAGCAGAATTCTAGCCATATGGTAATGGACAAAAACATACTTGTACTTGGGCCCTACTGGATAGGTCATTATTATTCACCCCTCACTCACCATGTTGTTCCAAACATTTGACAATCTTTGTTTAGACACTTACATCTTTCAAGATATCTTTTGTGTGTCACAGAATTTAAAAAATTCTTACAGGTTTAGAATGACATGAGGTTGAGTTTAAATTTTTGAGTATTCATTTACACATTTACCCAATAAAATGTGCAATGCAAGACTGTAGATGAGTGTGTGTCTGTGTATTTGCACATAAAGTGTGTTTATACTTGTATGTAGTTGCTTGTGAAGAACCTGCAGTTTGAGGATGGGAAGATGATTGCTGCATCCCAGTATTTTAAAGCTGCTCTCAGTTCCACTGTGGAGCTCTCTGAGGACGAAAAACAATTTGCTGGCTTTGAAGAGTTCATTCAAATGTGTGTGAGGAAACTGAGAGGAGAGGATGAGGAAGAAGAGTTCACTGTAGACTATGTTAGTTTTGCTTCTGTTTATTTTTGCTCTGCTTGATATATATATATATATATATATATATACACACACACACACACACACACACACTGTACATATATAATTCATATACAAAAATACAATGCTGAAACATATGATTACAGAGAATATCAGGAACTCTAGAAGTCCAAATATACACTCATTGTAAGTTTGATGCCTGCAACACATTCAAAAAAATTTGGGGCCGAAGTGGTACATCATTATTTTTAACAACACTCAAAAAAAATTTTTGGAACTGAGGACACTAATTGTTGTATATTTGAAAGTGGACATTTTCCCATTATTGCTATAAAAATTCAGATTTTCAGATTTTTAATTTAAAAGATAATGTAGATCTGGACTTCAAACACTGTGGTAAACATGTCCAATTTTGGAACGTATTGCAAGTATCAAACTTAGAATTACTGACTGTTTATGAAAACAGCAAAGTTGATTAGGTAAATTGTCTTTTATACTGTATTTTTTTAAAAATGTATTTCTAAATATGTATCCGCATGTCTGTTGTAGGTGGAAAAGAAACTGAACAATATGACAATCCAAATCCCACACCAGCTTTTCATAAATGGGGAGTTTGTAGATGCTGAAGGGGGAAAGACCTATAAGACCATTAACCCCACTGATGGACAGGTACACTGGACACAAATTCCTTTTCCACTCTCAATATATCTGCATTATATGTTTGATTCTTTTTCACATGCTTAATTTCAGCTTTTGTTTGTGTGTAGGCAATCTGTGATGTGTCCTTAGCTCAGATCTCAGATGTGGAAAAGGCAGTGGCTGCAGCTAAAGAAGCATTTGAGGAGGGAGAGTGGGGCAAGATGAACCCCAGAGACCGAGGCAAACTACTCTATAAGTACATGCATTTTATATTTAAACACTGCAGTTACACATAGATTTCTTTCTTTCTGCATTGAACTGGTAATTGTTTGAATAACATACTTACCAAATTTGACTCTGATTATCTTTGCTCAGACCATACTGGCAAAAAACGTTATGAAAATATGAGCTTTTTGATTGACCAAAGAGTTCTCTTATGAAGTATCAATAAATTCGACAAGGATGACTACAGAAAGGAAATATACAACTATATGTGATGGATGATGATTATTTGTAGCACAGTCTCTGCAGTAATACACATATTAGTAAAGTTTCTTAATTGTGTGCATGTTTGTATTCTCCAGACTGGCTGATCTGATGGAGCAGCATCAGGAAGAGTTGGCCACTATTGAGAGCATAGACTCAGGAGCAGTCTATACTCTTGCCCTCAAAACACACATCGGCATGTCTGTTCAGACATTCAGATACTTTGCTGGCTGGTGTGACAAGATTCAGGTTTGTTTGTGTGTGTTTGTCATTTATCAGAATATTTATTTATCAGCCATCATTTGTGATGAATGCCACAGTGTCATATTTAGGATATTCTGTTATTAAATTATACATTCTGTGTTTTTTCAAGCTTTATTCACCTTATTTAAACATTTTTGAAATTTTTTTTTTGTTTGTTTTTTTTAAATAAAACAAGGGTTGAATTTTGTGATAATTAATATGCACTGAATGCTGTTGATTGAGCTTAATTTGTATTGAACCCAGAAGATTCATTTAAATCTAATTTGACTGCATTGTATTGGAAACTACAGTTTTAGTAATATTAAAAAAATGAACCTATCCTTGTGTGTGTCTGAAATATATTAAAATATTCTCCACAGGGCTGCACTATTCCTATCAACCAGGCTCGACCTAATCGAAACCTTACCTTCACCAAGAAAGAACCAATTGGGTAAAATCAACTCTCCCCAGACAAAAAATCCTCCAGTTTTCGTCCAGCCTCGCCATGAAAAAATCTCTGTTGAGAATATTTAGCTGTTGTTTGTTTATGTTCAGTGTGTGTGCCATTGTCATTCCTTGGAATTATCCACTGATGATGCTGGCATGGAAGACTGCAGCCTGCCTAGCAGCTGGAAACACTGTGGTGCTCAAACCTGCACAGGTAAAGAACTGCAGTTACTATTAAAACAAAAATGCACATGGGCATGGCATATTTAACTCGAACAACATACACACAGAATTTAAGAACTGTGTTTCTGCATTCAATTCTAGGTCACACCTTTGACTGCTCTCAAGTTTGCTGAATTAACTGCATTGGCAAAGTTTCCAAAAGGCGTGGTGAACATACTACCAGGATCTGGTACATATAACACAAAACATACACAATAAAGTTGAATTTAGCCCAAATCTGTCAATGAAAACTGATAAACTGTAACTATTTTCTGTACACAATTCAGGATCAATATTGTAAATTCTTTGCACAATTGACTTTTTAGTACATCTGATTAATTTTTAAAACTATCTGCTTGTAGATTCATTGAATATTTGTTGAATATGTAAATTTTAGGGTCTCTGGTCGGTCAGCGGCTGTCTGACCACCCTGATGTTCGAAAACTTGGCTTCACCGGCTCCACTGAGATTGGCAAACAGATAATGAAAAGGTGAATGAGCATCTATTAAAAATCGAAACAATGCTGGGGTTTAAGTATTTCTTTAATTTGATGTTTTCAGATCTCAATTTTTGTAGTAAATTACAAATGGAATTTAAATAAAAGTTGGAAATGATCAATTGATCTTTTAGCTGTGCAGTCAGCAATGTGAAGAAGGTTTCTCTTGAGTTAGGAGGAAAGTCTCCTCTCATCATCTTTAATGACTGTGATCTGGACAAGGCTGTCAGAATGGTTTGTTTACCTCAGTACCATCACACAATTGTATTTGCAAATTATGGTTGTAATCTCAGACATGTTTTCACACACACTTCTTGTCTACAGGGTATGAGCTCTGTGTTCTTCAATAAGGGAGAGAACTGCATTGCAGCAGGGAGACTTTTCATTGAGGAATCTATCCATGACACTTTTGTGGAGAGAGTGGTAAAGAACAATATGATTTAATAGCTTCATCTCTATTTTTACATATATTTCTTTTTGTTACCTGTGGCTGAATCCCGCACTCTTGTGAGTTATGACCGTATATCAGTATATCATATATAAAAATGTAGTCATACTAACTTCTTAAACCTCTTAAAATCATTTAACTAAGACCATTTGATTTTAACTGAAGTGTAATAATGTAAAACCTAGATGAGCTAATAATTCGTGATTTTATAATTAATTTGTAACTCCAATATCTTAATTCAAAGCTCATAACATATACAACTACATCTATGTAGGTCAATGAAATAAAGAAGATGAAGATTGGTGATCCACTAGACCGTTCCACAGACCATGGCCCCCAGAACCACAAAGCCCATCTGGACAAACTGGTGGAATACTGTGAAAAAGGGGTCAAAGAAAGAGCAAACTTAGTGTTTGGAGGGAAACAAGTGAACCGTCCAGGTTAGAGGAGTGTGTGAGAATATGCATAAGTCTTAGTGAGGGGAAAAGTACAATGTTCTTTACACTTTCTATCTCTATAGGTTTCTTCTTTGAACCAACTGTTTTCACTGACGTGCAGGATCACATGTATATTGCTATTGAGGAGTCCTTTGGGCCCATCATGATCATCTCCAAATTCAGTAATGGGTTGGTAGAAATAAGCGACTTTTACCTCTAAACTCTTTAACTGTATACATTGTACTAATATTTCAGATTTGTAACAACATGACCAAAAGCAACATTGTAAACTGCCTTTTCCTCAATCTCCCTCATTCAGAGATGTTGACAAAGTGCTGCAGAGGGCTAATGCTACAGAATATGGTTTAGCATCAGGTGTGTTTACACGTGACATCAGTAAGGCTCTGTATGTGAGTGAAAAACTTCAGGCTGGCACTGTGTTCATCAATACTTACAACAAGACCGATGTCGCTGCTCCTTTTGGTGGCTTCAAACAGTCTGGCTTTGGCAAAGATTTGGGTAAGACATAAATATGATATCATAAATATGATGCATGATAAATTAATTTAAATGAACACATACCCAACAGGTTTTTTGAGTTGTCATTGCACTATATTTCAGTTATTATTTATCTTACAAAAATACTTTTTTATATTGTTTTAACTAGGTGTATTTCTTCCCAACAGGACAAGAAGCTCTGAATGAGTATCTGAAGATTAAATGTGTGACTGTTGAATACTAATAAAATACTGGACATATAGTGCACAACATAAAATGATTGCATTTTAGTGCTCAAAAGTAGCAGCTAAGGACAATTTCAGTTTAGCCTTCAAGTAAATTGTCATGACTTAGTAATTACATTCGTTTTGTGTGTAATAATGGATTGCATTTCAGTTCCGACAATTAAGAAAATCAAATCAAATCACAAGTTCCCCTTAAGGCTTTAGTTCTTACTTTCCTAGTTTTACACAGTATCTGTAAATGTCTTACTGTATATAAGCGTAAGAAAGTTGCGCACATCCCACAAACCCACACGGGGCTTAGGTGCAGGACAAAAAAAAGTCAAACTATAGCAAAAATACAAACGTATTGTCCGCACACTGATGTAACTGCTCCATAAAAATAATTTATTATTATAAATTATTTTTATGGAGCAGTTTCATCAGTGTGCGGACAATATGTTTGTATTTTTACTGTATATAAGCTCCGAGAAATCAAGGACCATACATCAAACTTTTTATCAATTATTATAATGAATGTTGTTTCATTTATCATTTATTTTGAGATAATTGCTTAAGTTGAGATACTGTGAAGTAATGTCTGTCTAGCCATCAAAACAATTTTGGGTAAAAAAATATTTTAAGGCTAGTTCCACATTGAAAGCATGAAGGCCGTCTTTATAGATGCTACAGCGAATTTCAAGTTTCGTCTTCCGCCACATCCACTCAGCTTTTCTGCATTGTTTTTTCATACTCTGTACTGCTGTTGATTTTCTCCATACTGATTTTTGTCTGCCAGTCTTCTTGCTGACTTTCACAGGAGCAAAATCATCAATAACATTCTTAACTTTTGAGTTAAAGGAATCAAGGAGAAGATCAACAGAGTCTGCAGAAATGCTTGGTGTTAAAGATATAGCCT